AGCTAGTAATGACCAGTTTACTTTAGATAGCTTAATCAAAACTTAATAACATCATCAACCATCACAAAAGCATACATTCCATAAAAAAAAAAAAACCTGATAAGCTTTGCTTATCATTTCAAATTCTCCATAAATCAACATAATGCGCAACTGTGGGCCAATCTCAATATTAATCATTCCTGTAGTTGTTAATAGTGTTGTCATTCATAGGCCAAAAGCCAGAATCCACTGTGGCTTCTAATGAGAAATTTAAAATGGGACAGAGCCTGAGAGATTATCGCTTCACTTTATAGAAGGAAGAAAGCCCAAAAAACAAGGAAGTGACTTTTTATCCAAGTTCATACTTGTCTGGGCAGAGCCAGGATTAAAGGTCGAGTCTGACCCATCATGCAGGTGGACATTCCTTATACATATGAAATGCCAAGGCTCAGAATCCTTGTAAAGCTGAATCATTATGACCAAGGTGAGCCTAAAGTCATTCAACAAGAAAACAATGTATCGCTGTGGGAGATACAGAGGGGCACCTAAGAAGATAGGAAATAAAACACACTGAAGATAACCAAGAATATGAGCAGTGTGATAGTAGTCACTTGATAGGATCAAAGGAAACTTACCAAAGTGAAATAACATTTACTGATTTATCTCCCACCTTAAAATATGTTTTAAAATGAAAACTTTCTGAAGGAGACATACACCATAAGGTGTGTGTGTGTGTGTGTGTGTGTGTGTGTGTGTGTGTGTGTGTGTGTTTAGTAACATTTGTTAGGGGTTATCATATTATTAAAGAAAATATTCTTTGCAAATAAACTTTTTTTTAAGGCAGAGATAACTTCACTAAAAGTTTAATAGATTTTCCTTCTAGCCACTTTTTTTTTTTAGTTTTTCTAAAGGTGTTTGTTTGTTTGTTTGTTTTTTTGAGAGAAGAGAGTGCAAGCAGGAGGAGCAAAGAAGAGAGAGAGAGAGAGAGGGACAGATGATCTGAAGCAGGCTCCCACGAGGCACAACAGAAGAGCCAATGTGGGGCTGGAACTCACAGTGAGATCATGACCAGAGCAGTGAGACATTTGCTGAGCCACCCAGAGCCCTCCTTCTAACCATTTTACATGTAAATGCACTCTTTCATTTTAATTGGGATCATTTGGAATAAATTGTTTTATATTTTGCTTTTCTTGCTTAATTTATCTTGAGAATTCTCTCATGGAATTAACAAGTCTTTGAAAACATTAGGTCCATTAAATGAATATAGTAATAATTATTTAGCACTACCTATTGTTAGACATTAAGTTTTACACTTTTCTTTATATAAAAATAATGACCAAATGGTTCATAAAGCTAGGTTGAAAATAGTGGTCATGGACGCTGGATGGCTCAGTCAGGTTAACAGCTTGTTTTCTTGATTTTGGCTCAGGTCATGATCTCATGGTTTGGGAGTACAGAGCCTGCTTAGGATTCTCCTCTCTCCCTCTCTCTCTGCTCCTCCCATGATAATAAAAAAAATGAAAATACTTAGTGAAAAACTAAAAAAAAAAACTTGCAACACATATCACTACTCTCTAATATGTACAGATCTCCTAGAAATCACTAAGAACAAGACTAGCAGAAAAAAATGGACAAAATGATATGGCGTTTCACATTAAGAAAATATAGGGGCACCTGGGTGTAGATGGTTAGCGTCCTGACTCTTGATTTCGGCTCACCAGATCATGATCTCATGTTTGTGGGATCCAAGCCTGAAGTCAGGCTGTGACATCGGATCCTGCTTGGGATTCTTTGTCTCCCTCTCTCTCTCTGCCCACCTCTCTCTTTCTTTCTCTCTCAAAATATAAATAAATAAACATTAAAAAAGAAAATATAAATGTCTCACTTATGTAAAAATGATGTTAACCTCATTCGTGATGGGAAAAATACTAAAATTCCACTGAGATAAAATTTTTCAACATTATTAGTTTAACAAAAATCTAAAAGTTTGATGTATTTGGCTGCCAGTGAAATGAAACTTTCATCCGTGATGGTACAAGTGTATAATATTGGCAATAAGGACAATCCATCAGTAGCTATATAATGTAAATGTATACATACTTTACAACAATCACGTTTTCAAAATTTATAGAGATCCACTTGTAAGCGTATGACCATGAGGTATGCTTGCTCATTTGTAGCCTGGATAATAGCAAAATAATGGAATTATCCTAAATGACTACCAACAGAGGCCTTGTTATTTAAAATGAAACATAGGAAGCCTGGGTGGCTCAGTCGGTTAAGCGGCCGACTTGGCTCAGATCATGATCTCACCGTGAGTTGAGCCCAGCGTTGGGCTCTGTGCTGACAGCTCAGGAGCCTGGAGCCTACTTCAGGTCTGTGTCTCCCTCTCTCTCTGACCCTCCCCACGTTCATGCTCTGTCTCTCTCTGTCTCAAAAATAAATAAATCTCAAAGATATATTGTTAAATAGAAAAAAAAAGCAAGGCATAAGAACAGTGTGGTCTGGCACAATGTATGCAAAAGTTGTGCCAACAAGGGTATATATATTTGTAGTGGCTTTTTACAGGCATAAAACTCTCTGGAGCAGTAGAAATTATTAATCATGAAGCTGTTGGGAAGGGTGAAAACTAGGTGGAGCAGGGATGGGAAGAGAATCTTTTCACCATAGGCCTTATACTATGCTTTTTAAAAAAATATTTTTTTGGTTATTTATTTTTTTTG